ACCGTTTCCGGAGAGTGAAAGCGGTAACAAGTATTTCATGGTTGTGATGGATTACTTCACTAAGTGGCCAGAAGTCTTCGCCATTCCAAATCAAGAAGCTTCAACAGTTGCGGATAAGCTAGTTCATGAAGTCTTCTGTCGTTTTGGAGTACCTTTAGAGATTCACAGCGATCAAGGAAGGAATTTTGAGCCTCAAATATTCCAAACTTGCCGAGTTATGGGTACTCACAAAACAAGAACGACTTCTTATCACCCGCAATCTGATGGAATGGTAGAACGATTTAATCAGACATTGGAGAGGTACCTAGCAAAAGTTGTAGACCATCGGCAACGAGATTGGGACAAGCACATACAACCGTTTTTGTTGTCATATCAAAGCGCTGTTCACGAAAGTACAGCAGTGACACCAGCTTTCGTAAACTTTGGAAGAGAATTACGGCTGCCTGCAGACCTGATCACCGGGATACCACCTGATACCCCACGCAGTATAACCGATTATGTAAATGACTTGCGGAACAAAATGAATGACATTTATGAACACGTCAGACAATCGGGCCAGCAAATGTCCGAGAAGATGAAAATCCGGTACGACCGCAAAATGAACAATAAAGGCTTCGACGAATGTTCACTAGTGTGGTTGCACAATCCAGTCCGCAGCAAAGGAAAATCTCCTAAGCTTCAAGCTAAATGGGACGGCCCGTACCAGATCGTAACCAGGATCAACGATGTAACCTTCCGGATACAGAAAGGCACAAGAGGGACTCCTGAGATCGTCCATGTGAACCGCCTGGCGCGTTATTATGGGGCCGATAATGCTCGGGGCGTGCATGTCTTAGGAGGGGGCAGTGTTGCGCGGCTAAGTTGACATCTGGCAATAGCGCCATCTAGTGTCGGGTAACAGAGCGAAGAGAGAGCTTTCCAGAAAATGACATCACTAATCTTTCAACCGAAAGCGCCATCTAGTATCGAATTGAAGAACTAAGCTTCCGGAAGCTGACTCTCGAACTTTCGGCGCTTTGTCGATTGGTGCGCGTATTTACTTGAATGTTCTGGATGATTCGGTACTAATGTGTATTTATAGGCGCTGCAAGGTGCGATCGGGGAAGTATTGAATTTGGCGAGACAAGCGAAGCTTCGGAGCGGAATAAAGTGAATCAGTGTGATTAATTATTAGTGTTTTAAGTTTAAATTTGTGTAAAGAAAATTAAAGTGTTAATTTAGGTAATCTTATCGGCAATTTTTATTGTCACGAACCTCAAGCTCGTAACAATATGATAGCTTAGGGACTGTGATGCAAAAAAGCCGTTTAGAATATTTTGTATTAATTTTTTGGTTATATGGGTATTATATACTATCAACATATCCTTCGCCCATATATTGTGACAAAGCAAGGATCTAAGCCATATTTATTGTTAGTGCTACGCTACAGTTATATTATTGGTGGTTGTAGCAGCAATTTGTTTGCTCGACTGGGGGAGGATCACGCTCTCCTCCATAAATTATCAATTCACTTCAGTCAACTGATACTAAGACTGACTTGTTTGGCTACCAGATATTCTTGTTCATAGAGCATATGACCACTACTTTTTATTCTTGTTAATATCCATCTTATCCTATAGGTGATCAATTCTTATCTATCGTTACAGCCCATTAAATGTCACTGCTAAACATCGGCCTTCTTCATATATTGTCTCATAGGGGATGAAAAAATAATTTGAAAATTATAAATGATTTATTGATTTACAATGATACATTTTAAACCAGTCGCAAGGGCCCCTGTACTAGGTTGGGAACCTGTATTACTGGGTAACCCGCTCATCCACCAAGACAATACAATGTTAATAAATAACAAAAAGCAAGGCAAGATCTAGCATTAGGAAGTAAATGAAATTCGGAATATAATAATAATTACATGATAAGCATGCATGCAAAGCATACACGTTTGTGTGTGTGTGTGTGTGTGTGTGTGTGTGTGTGTGTGTGTGTGTGTGTTTGTGTGTTTTGTGGTTGTGTGGTAGTGCTTTAACAATTGGTGTGGCTGTTCGAAGTATAAAAGTTGTGTAATAAATTGTTCAGTTTCCTCGTAGTTTAGTGTTAATAAAAATTGTGTCACTACCTACAAGTTTAACTTTAGTCCACGTCAAGGGGTAAATATTCAATCTGCTGTTGAATTTGTTGTAAATAGATATAGATTGGAATACGTATTGCTTTTGCTTAAACTTTGTTTTATTTTGTGGTATATTGCAAATTTTGGTACTTCTACGTTTTGGTGTCTGATGAGGATAAGGTAAATGTCGATGCTTTTTTAAAATGCAATTCAATATATATATATATATATATATATATATATATATATATATATATATATATATATATATATATATATTCTGGCGAGTAGTAAACAATTTGTAAGACTTATGTAGTTCAAAAGTTGTAAATAGAAACGGTTTCACGAACATCACCTTAATTGGAGCTCTTTCTAGTCCTTTTAGATGTGTTTTTGCTGCACCACTACAAACAGGTATGCAGTAACTCGTTACCGATTGCGCTAGAGCTTTGTAGGTTGTGATAAGAGTTGCTACATTTGCAACACACCTGAGTTTTTTGAATACCCATGTTAGTTTCCTTATCCTGTCGGCAATGTTTTCAATGTGTTGACTCCAGGTAAGGTGTTGATCAATAGTTACACCGAGATATTTGATGGTACTAGTCCTAGTGATTTTATCACATGAGCAACTATTATAGCTATCTAAATATGGCTTATGGCAGGTATGAACTGTTAGGTTAAATTTAGAATTAGGTTCTGTATTTTTCCGTATAGTAAAAGGTATGAATTTAGTTTTGTTAATGTTAAGGGTCAGAAGGTTCGATCTTAGCCAGTTAGATATATGGTGTATTCCGGAGTCAGCAATAATCCTTAGATTTTCCCAAGATTTTGCGTTAAAAATTAGAGCAGTGTCATCATCAGTGCGTAGGTGTATATTTGACAATTTTGTAGGTTTATATTGCATAGATCGTTGACATAGATTAAAAATAGAGTAGGTCCGAGGACGCTACCTTGGGGGACACCATAAGAGATATTTGATGGACAGCTAAGATATTCACCAAGATTGAGCTGTTGCTGACGTTCGGTGAGATAGTCTGTTAGAAGGGCGTGAGGCAGACCTCTTATACCATATTTATATAGTTTGTCTAACAGGATAGTAATAGAAACGGTGTCGAATGCCTTGGCCAAATCCAAAAGACTCCGAGACATTTGTTACCAGAGTCCAGTTGCTTACTTATTTCTTCAGTTAAAGCTAACACAGCGTCCTGAGTAGAAATTTCATTTCTAAAACCAAATTGGTTTTTAGAGAGCAGGTCCTTATCTATGAGATATTTTTTCAATCTATTGTTTATTAGTTTCTCTAGTATTTTTGATAGAAGTGTTAGCACAGAAATTGGTCTGTAGTTGCCCACATCATCTTTACTTCAACTTTTATGTATAGGGGTTACGAATGCCCTTTTAAATGTTATGGGGAATCGGCCACTTTTAAAAAAAATTATAGGTGTAAGGGTGTGTGGCCATTTTACTAAATGATGTAGGAATGTTATCCCATCCTGGGGCAGACTCATTACAGAGATCGCTTATGACCGAATTTATTTCCAACGGGTCGGTATCTAGCCTGTACGTTCTGACAGCGCGCGACATGTTATACTCCCGTTTGCTCAGGACCTCAAAATGGCGGCAAATGAAAATTTTCCCTAACTTGCAAATTCTGCTATATTTTCACTTTAAGACAATATTTTTAAATAAAACTTACAGGAATTCTTCTTGAGTGTATAAACTATCGAATAAAATAATTTTTGGATGTTTGATATAGTAATAAAATTCATAAATTACCCTTTAAAACGCATAGTAGTAGTAAATACTCCACTTTTAGCCACGAAAATATTAATAAAATAATTTCCACAAGTTTTTTTTTTCGTGAAATCTATATGGAAATGTTTGGAAATAAATATAGTTTTATGTTTTTATGTGTTTTTATTCGTAACCCATACAAAAAAAAAAACAAATAAATAGGAATCAAACATAACCCTTGTTTTCCGATATTCAATTTTATTATATGAACTTTGAAACACTATTTCTCTAATATTTTTTGTGTTTTTGAAATAAATACAACACCAAAATATTTGAAATATGTAATATAATTATTTTTTATTTACATTATACAGTAAAAATAAATGAAAATGGATAAATAACACATTTCTTACTCAACCACGAAAATGGAAGTTTTTCAAAATAAATTCACATATAACACACTCAAATATGTTTCGACACAAATGAAATATGTTTAGAAAAGTACATTTTTATTATTATTTACAATAAACATATACAATTCAATGCACAAAATACAAAACACAAGAAATAAAATATATTTGAACAAATGTATGGAGCAAATAGTGATGTGGCGTCGCTGGTATATTTATCGATAATTTTTTGCAATGTAGCCGGCAATAATCAAATTCGGTTGTTTGACTTCTTGTAATGATTTTATATTGAATTTACAATAAATTTATTCTTTTACAATTTATGAATGAATTTTCCTTCTTCTTTCGTACCTCTCCCTCCTAATGGAATGATCACGGATTTGCCCCTGAATATCCAAGGGCAAATCCGTGTCATTTGGGAAGACTTGCACGAAAGGTGCTCCACGCAACCAACCCACGCTTCTGCCACGGACACGGCCACGTCCACGACCACGCCCGCGTACAGACGCGGTTCCTCGCCGCTGACGTGCCGCCGCCGTGTCCAACACCTCCACCATGAAGCGGGGTGCGGGGCCTGGAGCATCCTCTGGAGCAGGTAAATCCTGTTGAAAAATGAACACGTTGTTATTGTGCTGCAAACATATATATATATATATATATATATATATATATATATATATATATATATATATATATATATATATATATATATATATATATATATATATATATATATATATATTTATTACTTCCACTCTGCGGGGTGCGGGGCCTGGTACAGCCTCCGGAGCAGCCACTGGAGCTGCAGCCGGAGCCGGAGCAGGTGACCCCTGTTGAAATAATAAACACATTTTTATTGGGTTGCAAACATTTATATATAATAAATATAAATAAATATTTATATAAATACATAAACATAAACATAAACACTCACGCCTGTCACCCAGAGGGGTAGGCAGAGACTACAGACTTCCATTTGGCACGATCCTGACACACCTCTCTCGCCTCCTTCACATCCATACATCTACGCATGCATGCTCGTCGGTTAAGGGTACTCCTAATTTGGCCCGTTTTCAATAAATCGCCAATTTGGTCGATAAATTTTCGCCTAGGACGTCTCTTTTCGACTCTGCCATTCACTTCTGCAACATAAATTTTTTTTGTCACTCTTTCCTCATCCATTCTTTCCACATGACCAAACCACCGAAGCATTCCTTTCTTAATCCTGGTCACAACATCATCTTGCAAACCACACTCTTCTCTTATCACACAATTCTTCACCCTGTCATTCAGATTCAGCCCTAACATACTCCTTAACGACCGCATTTCTACTGCATTTATTCTACTCTCGTGCTTCTTCTGCCACACCCAACTTTCACTACCATACGTTAAAGTAGGGACCAACACAGCATTGTGAATTGCCATACGTGCCTTTTTTGACACATTTTGACTCTTCACAATAGAGTGCAGGGCCCCATTTACTCTGTTTCCTGCGTTCACTCGTCGTTCTATATCCTTATCATATCTCCCATCCCTGCTAAATACGCAACCCAAATATACAAACTCATCTACTTGCTCGATCAACTCCCCATCTATTCTTATTTATATAAAAACTAGCTGAAATATAAAAATTTACATAGAAACCTTTCATTACTGATGTTTTGTATTACTTACTTCCACTCTGCGGAGTGCGGGGCCTGGTACAGCCTTCGGAGCAGCCACTGGAGCTGCAACTGGAGCCGGAGCAGGTGACCCCTGTTTGAAATAATAAACACATTTTTATTGGGCTGCAAACATTTATATATAATAAATATAAATAAATGATTGATGCTATAAATATAACTTACAGACACCTCCGCAGGCTCTACCAGCAACTCCGACAGGTGCCCCCATGACCCGTCGGACCGCACATAGCAAATTGACATGCTCTGTTGAAAAATGAACCCGTTAATATCTATAAGTGTCTATTTATCTATACTTGTGTGTGATGTTACATATAAATATTACTTACAGATATATCCCAGTCATCTTGTTCCCCAACCTCTTCATCGATGACCGCTTCTTCGGCTTCCTCCTCATCGAGAATGACATCGATGAAGACCTGGGGAACTGGGTTGTTTCCGGGGTTCCACATGCTAAAAAAGAAAATAATAATTGTTACATACCATAGTACATAGTTATGTCTTTCATATTATATATATATATATATGTAAATATATATATTCATGTTATATTATATATATATATATATATATATATATATATATATATATATATATAGGGTCATATTATGTTATTATATCAGCAGAAATTGCTATATACATACTGAATTTATCCAAATGAAAAAAAAAGTGAAGCACATGTCTGTACAATAAAAATACGTAAAATTTATCACTTTTTTTTAATAAATATCTCCATATCGATCGCCTTATCGATAAAACTCGCGCAATCCATGCAAATATGCTAAATATGGCGAAATATTTGAATTGTTATATAGATATTGGACCGTTTTATGAACAATAGTATAGGTTATGATACAATTTTGATAGGAAAAATGAACGAAATCATGATGAATATGAAATTATCTCGTAATTTCATTAGGACTTTACCGTATTCAATTAGATTTATCCGTAAAATATAGACATTTACATTTACTATTTCGTTTGAACTTTTCTACGTCATTTCGATTTCAAACTATTTTTAGCATTCACTTTTCACTTTATGTCACAAATTATATATCTACGGGTATGTTATATCACAAGGATTACAAAAATGTATAATACTTACGTTTTTCTTGCAGACAAAATGATAAATTACTTTATAACAATCAGAGCACTCGTGCACGACGCGCGACGCGTAATGGCGGAAATCCAAAGTGATTTCTTTTTTTTTTCTAAGAAACATTGCCAGGTTACGTTTTAAAATAAAAGAGCATATCTTTGTCTTTGATACTATTATCTATTGCATAGTGTCTTTGGTTTTGTTTAAAACGAAAAAATAGTTTTTTCATAGGGCAGTAATTCTGATCTAATTAGTGCTCTTTTTGGAGCGAGCGTAAGGTAGGTATTGTACGATCTAAAGTGCGCATGGCTTGGTTAACGGGCTAGAAGAACAAAAGAATTTATTTGGTTTGGCATTTTAGTCATGTAATTATTTGCTATAGGAGGGGCAGCGTTTTTTAAATTTCCAGCCAAGTTTTTGCCTATACTAGAAAAGTGATCATTAATAATATTTGCAGATTCTACAGGGTATGATGTCATCAGTATTATCTTTATTAACATAGCAAATTGATTTAATATTTTTCCACAGCATTTTCGGGATATTTTTTGCATTATCCAATTTTCTCCTTGCATAATTATTTTTAAGCTTCCGGACAAGCTTATGACAGTAATTTCTGTAGCGTATATACTTTATTTTTAAAATTTGATTATCAGGATTTTTTTAACCTTATAATGTATTTATCGAACACATCGTAATACTCCAGGTGTTATCCATGGCTGAATACAACGTTTTCTTACGGGAATTGTGGTTATCGTTTGATTATTTTTCATTGCTACTGAAATTGTACTAACCAAAGCATCAGCAGCCAGTGTTGGGTCATGTATGTCTAGTATTTTTATAAGCTTGGACTTTATTTCATCAAGAGTTGTTATATAATTTACGGAAATCTTAGTTTTCGAAACATTGCGGCTCATAGGCTTATTCATAAGGTTTAGTTAAGGTTGATCAGTAGGGGCATTAGTGAGTACGAGAGATTTCGTTGGTGAACTGTTTTTAGCATCATATGATCATAGCACACTTTGTCGCGAATTGGAAGCCTATGAGCAGGAAGTAATCCATGGTAAGCAAGTGAGGTTAAATAATTGGGGCAGTTAGTGTCTATGGAACTGAATTTGATATCTATGTTTATGTCACCGGTTAAAATAATGTTTTGATAAATTTTATAACGGCGGAGTAAGGTTTGAAGAGATGAGGTGAAGTCGTCAGTGTTTCGTATTGAAGGTGTACGATATATACCTATTAGAACTGTATCAGTTAGGGTAAGTACAAGACAAGAGGCATTTCTGATATTTTGTAGTTAAGTTTCCTATGTACGTAAAATACCACGACGTCACACTGATTTAAAGTGTTTTTTGTAAAATATTTATTATAGTCATTATTAAGTGTTAGAATGGGCTTATTTTTTGAAAGATGACACTCTGTTATGACTAGTATGTCGCAATGAATGTTTAGTGAGTCCAACGTTACTTGAAAAGTGTCAAATTTTTTGTCAAATTTTTTATAAATACTCATTATGTTTTGAGTGAGAATGGTTAAATGATTAAATGTAGTTATGTGAGAGTGACAATCCTCAGGCCTGCACATAAAGGCCTGGGCAACTTCAGTATTGTCTATATCTATATTAGTTTGTAACAAACTATCCATTGTTATTCAGAAAGGGCTTTCGTTCCTACTAGTCCGGTAACAAACAAATTTACGAGTAACACTCAGGATTGCATAAAAAGAATATTCACCAAAGTTACTGCAATGAGAAAAATACTGGAAAAATTTTTGTTTATCAGGAGTGAACTTAAATTATTAACTTTTATTATTAGTTTTTGATAAAAGAACAGCAAATTTTTTGGTACAAGATATGTATGTAAAAGAGTGCGTTGGTTAATTTTTATGTTTATGAGTGTGATGATTGAAGTGTGAGCTTGTGTAAATAGTAGTGTTCGTGATATGTACATATAGTTATATATAATATGAAAAATGTAAACAATGCAAAATATACAATAAAAGTAGAAAAGGAGGTAAACAATAATAATATCAAACCAAGAACATGTCTGAGCTATAAATAAAAATAGTCATTTGTTAATATATATGTTTTTGATTTGACATTCGTTCTCTATTTTTGTGATCGGTGAGCTCTCATCCTTCCTCACCAAAACGTTACCGAGCGATGTCCAGCAAAACTTATATTTCTGAGTTCTAGTTAATATTCTAGTAAAGTAGTACAATCTATTTCCTTTTTGTGTCAAATGGTCCGACACAAAAATTGGAGTGTTGTTGCCTTTTAAACCCAAATGCTGCGAATTGAGTTTATTGTTTTTATTTTGAAAATTATATATTTTTGCAGCGTGCAATATATTCGTCTTCTGTATGTAGGATGAAAATTCGACTACTATGGGCTTTTTGTCGCCCTTGTGGGAGGATCTATAAATGTCTTTTATATCGTTGGTTTTGAGTTCAACTTTGAGCGATATAGACAATTGAGTAACCATATTTATTAGGGATGATTTTGATTCATTATCCATTTTCGGCACATTTTTTAATTCAAATGAGCATTTCCGATATGACTTTTGCAGATCCTCGATTTTATTTTCTAATATGAGTATGTATTCTTTATCCTTCCGTCTTTCGCGTTCCATTTCTTCCATTTTTTTCCTCATATCTTCAAATTGTGCAGTCATAAATGCCATCGAGTCTTCAATAGTATTTAGAGAAGACGTAATTTGTATTCTTTCGCTATTTTGTTGAGACATCCATGAGGATAACATGTCGTTTATTTCATTTTTAAACTCGCAGAAGTCTGTGGATGTCTCCTCCAAGCGTTTCCTCTTAGTACGCGTATTTGTAAAGCTTGCTGATGGCGAAGATTCAGTATTACTTAAGGTTTGTCGTAAGTTAGATTCGGAGCTTGATTTTTCAGGTGTACGATACATTTCTTATTGGTTAGGTCGCTTACGATACTAGGGAAACAGAAGTACGAAGTGATAGGCCCGAAGGGCGGAACTAGTATATTGTCACTAATTCTAATAATATTGCAAGGTGGTGTGGGTAGAGATTTTAAATGGTCGTTATAAATTAAAGAAGAGAATAAGAAAAATATTTCATGCACTTACGGTACCAGGATTGCAGAAGTATGTAGTGATTAGTCTATAGGGCGGAGCTAGTTAGTTGTCCCTGCTTCGTAGATGCTGGGCGGGGCTTCGGGGCTGTGGTATCAATGACCGTAATATAATCCGGTACTATTATGCACTCCTATTTTTTTTCGAATTTTCGTCACAACTGAATTCAATAGAATTTTAATTCCAATGCAATAATTTTCATGCACTTACAGTACCAGAATTGCAGAAGTATGTAGTGATTAGTCTATAGGGCGGAGCTAGTTAGTTGTTCCTGCTTCGTAGATGCTGTGTGGGGCTTCGAGGCTGTGGTATCGATGACCGTAGTATCCGGTACGATTATGCACTCCTATTTTTTTATCGAATTTTCGTCACAACTGAATTTAATTAGGATTTTAAATTGTTATAAAATAATATTAGTTAACACGTCTGCACTTGACTGCGGTCCGGGGGAAGAGGGATATTTACCATAGTTTCCACGCTTGGCGAGTGGGTTGTCAACCACAGTTTTTTTTATTTTAAGTCATTTTAGGAAGACTCTGCTCCCCATCTCCTGATTTGTTTCCCACTGTCGTCTTTAACGACACCCATGGGATGATATGGGTTAGTGGATATGCTTACACCGCCACTTCACGGTTAGCAATTCTTATATACATACGAGTACATAATATGTAATTTTGTAATTGTTTTCTCGAAATCTAACGAATAGGATGAAATTTTATATTCAAGTTACGTTCTGATTTCAAAGTTTATTTGGATAGATGTTATTAATGAGAACTTTTTTTTTGACGCCGAGCAAAATTCGGTCCCAATGGCATTAAATATCTTTTATTATGTTGTCTGCTTTAAACCCTTTTATATTTTTTATTAAATTAAAAAGAAATGTTCGAAATTTAGATAAATTACCAGTAATTACATCATCCTATTTCGTGTCGTGGGTTTTGTTAGAGAGCGACTATGGGACATTGCAAATGTCCGTATGGTTTACATATTATGGTTTACATTTGTGTAACTGTCTCATTTGCGCCAAGCGTAAAATATCCAGTCCGATGACAGAAATACAGTCTTGGATTGCAATCGCCAATCCGATTTCGTAATATCAAATCTTCTTTACTACGGAACCAGCAGTAGACTAGTAAGGAAGGGCTAGTAAACAAGGAGAAGAAAACTAACAAAAATAAATTCTCTATATTTAACAGGAAGATAACTAGCATGTACTAGAGAGCTAAGCATTGGAGAGCGTTGATCTGGTAGTTACCAAAGACTGATTATGGGGAACGGTATAACCACGTAAGGGTATCCACTTCGCGCTCAGCAATCTCCCTGCAATTTTGGCAAGTCTTTCGAGTTATGCAATATTCTTGACGTATTCTTTAAAGGCCTATGCATTACCTACGCCGGTAACGAATTTATAGAGGCTGTTAAAGTATCACCCCACATACATAGAAAAACTAAATACTGAGTTATTAAAAGTGTCTGGATTAGTGTACCAACCATTTATTTATAACTAAAGTAGCATTAAAACTTAACAGTACACCTAATGGCGAATGGCTTCTGGAGCCCACAAATACCTGGAGATAACTTAACACAAATACGGCTATGTCCGATGCGCTGTCACCTCTGAGGACTAAGATAGAATTTCTCGCAGCGTATGATTGTACTGTGGCTCAGTAAATCCTTCAGACCGGAACTAAGCAGTGCAGGTGTTGCTATTTGGCGGCAAAAAAGGACTCCAAGGTAGAAACGGATCCTAAGCCACCACGTTTGAAATCAATTTTAATTTGGCGGAAGTATTAACATGTTACTGTTTCAGTTAAACACGAAAAACAAAGAATTTCATGTAAGAATATTTAAAACTTTCCTTATACGTCGAACTTTTGTCAGATACACAAACTGTTGTCAGGTTGTTATTTTTAACGAACGTCGCATAACAAGAATTGTGACAAATATGCAGCCAACTATATTTGTATCACAATTTAAAAATATTGGTTTTGGTATGTGCACACGATAATAATTGGTAAAGTAAACAAGTTATAAAGAAGAATGTATTCGCTTCACCATGCTCCACACTATTATATATATATATATATGTCACGTTGTTTGTCCGCGATGGACTCCTAAACTACTTAACCGATTTTACTCAAATTTGCACACCGTGTGCAAATTGGTCCAACTTGAGAGATAGGATAGTTTTTTTGCCCATGAGTGACCCACAATTTTTTTGCGAATTCAAGGGTTTTTAATAAGACATGACAAAGGGTCGTCGAAAAGAGCAGAACAACGTCTGCCTGGCAAGCTAGTATATATATACACACGTTTCCGTTTTAAAATATTTATATTACAACTTTTTAAGTAAGACCGAAAGCGGTTAAAATTCACGGATACGCCACTGGTATACGTTTTTTAGAGTATCGTTATACCTTCGTATAATCTTTACATAACCGAAATTTTATTGGTAACAAAAAATATCTTATTTTGTTACCAAAAGTATTTGCACTATGTGGATGAGAATAAGATTTGTGTCCATCTATCTGCGCGATTCATTTTTAAAAAAACGACATTCTGCAGCTGATTTAGACAGTAAAGCTCTTTTCCTTTCATGGAGTCCTTCTATGTAGGTAACATCTTCTTACCTAATTCTGTACAAAGCAGAAGTGCGTGCATTACTTTATTCCGGTCTAAAATATATAGAGAACTGATGTAATAAACTAAT